TTCCAAGCATCATGTTAGTGAAAGAAGGCAGATACAAAGGTAACATATTATATGAGTCCATCTATACCAGCGGTTCTCAACCTGTGGGTCACAACCCCTTTGGCGGTTGAACGACCCTTTTACAGGGGTCGCCTAAGACCATCCTGCATATCAGATATTTACATTACGATTCATAACAGTAGCAACATTACAGTTATGAAGTAGCAACGAAAATAATTTTATGGTTGGGTCACAACATGAGGAACTGTATTTAAAGGGCCAGAAGGTTGAGAACCACTGATCTATATGAAATGTCCAGAACAAGCAAATCTATAAAGAAAGTAGATTAATGATTGCCTAGGGCTGGGATGGGAAGTTGGAAAGAAATGGGGAGTGCCTGGTATGGGTTTTTTTTTGAGGGGGGGCAGATATGATAAAAATATTCTAAAATTCACAACTTTGTGAACATACTAAAAACCAATGAATTGCATACTTTAACTGGGTAAATTGCATGACCTGTGTATACAGCTCAATAAAATCGTTAAAGAAAAAAACAGGCAAAACTCATTTATGGCGGTAGAGGTCAGAATAGTGCTTACCTGGGATGGGGGTGGTACTGACTGGGGTGGGGGCGGGCAGGAGGGAGCCACGGAGATGCTGAAAGTGTTCTCTATCTTGATCTGAGTGGGGATTACAAGGTCTATACATGTCAACAATGCATCTAGTTGTATATGAAGGATTTGTGCACTTTATTTCATGTTTGTTAGGACACAATAAAAACAATCTAAACTAAGGGCAACCACTAAAAGACTAAGAGTAGAATGTATAATCTCTAAAACAGGAGAGGATAACCAGGAATAAAGAAAATTCTCTCAATGTCAAGGAGGGAAGAAATGGAGAGAAAAAAAAAAAAACAGAGCATTTTCAAAACTTGACCATGTACTCAGCCATAAAGCAGGTCTCATCAAACTTCAAAGGACATGTATTCTTATAGAGCATATTCTCAACTACAATGGAATTAAGATGGAAATCAGTAACCAAAGGTTAACTAAACCCATCCCCGACGAGGGGGAAGGAGAGGAAGAGTAGAAGGGAGACACCCAGCGACTGGTGGGAAGCAGAGGCCAAGGCCAAACTCTTCCCTTCTCCCACTGCCCGGCACCAGGGTGCGAAGGCATTCGCTGCAACCTGGACTCAAGGCCCCTGCAGTCCTGCTGTCTGAACCTTCTGTGACCTCTAGGACTCCACTCTTCAGGAGTTGTAGGTTGCTGGGGTAACCACTGAATTAACAAGGTGGTCCTGGGGAGTTGGCTCCCCGGCCACACCCCAGACCCTCTGCCCACTCCTCCCCACTTTAGCCATCTGTCCTCAGCATGGATGTTCCTTGCTTCTAGAGGCCAGATTTAGATTTAGGGAAACTGCAGGTCTGCAGGGGGCAGATGTGGGCAACTGTGCTGTCCTGTTCCCTCACCCTAGCAGAAACCCAGCCCCCTGCTCTCCAGACCCTCCCTGACTCCACCCTTTCCAACTCTGCAGGGGCCAAGTTCCCCATCAAGTGGACAGCTCCTGAAGCCATCAACTTTGGCTCCTTCACCATCAAGTCGGACGTCTGGTCCTTTGGCATCCTGCTGATGGAGATCGTCACCTACGGCCGGATCCCATACCCAGGTAGTGAAGGGGGCCTCAGCTTGGGCTGCTTCCAGGGCCCAGTCTGGCTTTCTTCTCTTGTCAATGTCCATTCAGACTGAGTTCTTCATCCTCCTCCCAACCTCCCCTCACCTGCTCCATCTCAGTTAAAGGCACCACCATCCACCCAGTTTCTTAAGCCTGAAATCTGCGGGCTCCCTCCATCCTTCCTTTTCTTTCACTCCATATCACATCCAAACAGTCAGAGGTTCTGGTATTTGACTCCAAAACACATCCCAAGTCTTCCCCTTCTAACTCCACGGCCTCCATGCTCATCCTGGCCAACATCACCTCTCACCTCGATGGTACAGTGCCTGCCTAACCAGCATCCTGCTTCTCCCCTCTCTCCTGTAGGCCATTCTCTACGTGCAGCCAGAACGAGTTTTCTAAAACTGTGACTCAGATCTTGTCCCTTCTCCATCTCTAACTCTTTCATGGTCTCCCACCATAATTAGGACAAAATCCCAAACTTCTAATTATGCCTGCAGGTCTTGCATGATCCAGCCCCTGTCTACATCTCCAGCTTCACTGTATGTGGCATCCCACCATCCAGTCATCCAAAGTCCCACACGTCCCCCGTGCTTCTCATTCAAAACACGCTACACTGTTTCCTTCATAGTGTTCATCACAATTGATAACTATGTGTTTGTTTAATATTTTCCCCATCAGACTCTGAGCTCCGTGAGGCCAGAAATCATGTCTGTGTTCCTCACTGGTGTATCTGCACTGCCTACCTCTGTGCCCGCCACATAGTGGGTGCTTCGTATCTGTTTGTGGAATAGATGTTTACCTACACGCCTGCGGGCAGCACCCTAGACTGAGTAGAACACAGGGTGTATAAAGATACACGTGACATACAGATTGCCTAGGGCTCAGTAAGTACTGTTGTGCTCGGTTCCTTTTTGGTTGGAATGGCTCCATGCCAAAACACTGGGAAGAGGGGACAAGGCAGATAAAAAGAGTCTCTGATTGTTTTTATAAACTGTCCTGAATTTGAATGGTGTCCCCATCAACTATTACATTTTGACAAATTCACTTCACTTTTATCCCAGTGTTTTCACCTGTAAAAAAATATAGGTACCCTATCCGGTAATGACATCTACCTTGTACAAGTGGTTGTGAAGGTTAGGAACAAAAGATATAGACATCGCTCATTCCATTGTATTTCTCAAGTTCCTTCCGTGCGTTAGGCACTAAGGATACAGTAAGAGACGAGGCCCCTGCTTGTAAGGAGCTCACAGTCTAGCCTGAGCACACACTAAACAGACACACACTCCCAAGGAGATCACTGCTGAGAAAATGAAGCAGAGGCATGTAAGAGTGAGTGACCTGGAGCTCCTGTGGACAGGGAGTACCTGTCAGAGCAGGTCATATTTGAGCTGAAAAACAGCTGAGTGAGGATCTGGGGAAAAGATTTCAGGCAGAAAGCACTGCTAGTTTATAGGGCCTGAAGTGTGCCTGAGGATAGCAAGGAAGCCAGGCAGCTGGAGACCAGGAATGAGAGCAGATGGTAGATGATGAGGTTGGCAGGGGCCAGATCCAGCAGGGCCCATGGTCATGGTCAAGAGTGAGTGGATGTTAGTCTAAGCATGTGGAAGCTGGGAGGGGGCATCTTCTCATGGTTAAGTGATGCGTGGTTCAGCATGGAGAGTGGATTTGGGGCTGGGACAAGTGGAAGCTGCAGCAGTGGCGATAGCAACAGAGATATAAGCTGATGGGTTGATGCTACATTCCAAAAGAAGATGTGAGTTGCAGATGTGGAAGGTGAGGGAGAGAGAAGAATCAAGGATGATTCTCCTGGTTTTAATGGAGCAACTAGGTGGGCAATAGTCTATGGATAGAAATTAAAGAATTCTGTCTTAGCCCCATTAAATTTGAGGTGACTAGTAGACATCCAGGTAAAGATGTTCAAGAAAGCACTTGGATATATAAGTTTGGAGTTCAAGACTGGTGATATAAAATTGAGGGCCATAGTCAGTTAAATGGTTGTTCTTAAAGATAACTAACAAATTCAATTAAATAAGGAAATGGTCCCATTCACATATAGGGTGCATCGAGTCTAGCCACCTAACTGTTTTGTCTTGAGGGTATGCCAGGGAAAACCAGGAATGGCTATGACACCCTGTATCCATTAGGATGCATTAAGCTGCAAGTAACAGAATGACAGACTAAGGAGTGGTAGAAACAATAAGTAAGTTATTGCTCCCATAACGAGTCTGACATTGGTGACTAGTTAGTTCAGCCGCTCAGCAGCTCTCAGGACTCTGGGTTAGTTTGTCCATGACTGTCTTCCTCACATGGTAGAGGGCTGCTGCAGCTCCAAGGATCACACGGTCTCACAGTGCCCGAAGGAAGGAGTAAGTGTGTGTCCTCTAAAGTCTCTATCAGGGAGGAAAACCTTGCCTGGAAGTCTCCCTGGAGACTCCCCCTCGGCTTCCATTGGCCAAAACTGGGTGCCATGCCCCTGCCCTCACTCAGGGGAGTCTATGGATTTCGCAGTCAGAGAGGCAGAGCTCCCACAGGAGGTGGGGAGTGATGGCTGCTGGGGAGGCAACTTTGTCTGCCTCCCCTGGACTCCCATCGCCAATCCCTCCCTTTTTAATTCCATGGCTCCTTCTCAGGCATGACAAACCCTGAGGTGATCCGGGCGCTGGAGCGTGGATACCGCATGCCCCGGCCAGAGCACTGCCCCGAGGAGCTCTACAACATCATGACGCGCTGCTGGAAGAACCGCCCCGAGGAGCGGCCCACCTTCGAATACATCCAGAGTGTGCTGGACGACTTCTACACGGCCACGGAGAGCCAGTACCAGCAGCAGCCGTGATGGGGGACCACGGCAGGGCCAGGCTCTGAGGCGGTGCCTGTGAGGTTCACCAGCGCCATCTGCTAGATGTCTGCTCACCCTTCTCACTCCCAGACACCCACCCTCACTCCAGCCTCGGTTCCTCATCTGTCAAGTGGGTGGGCTGGACTGGACACTCTCTTTCTGACTCTAGCAATCCACAATCTGCCATTCTCAGGAGACCCCAAGTTATATTTCTGTTGCCTGGGACATTTGGATTCCAGTTACAGCTTTGGTTTGAACAGAAAACTTTAAAAATAATGAAATATTTAAATAAAAGATAGAAATGCTAAAGGCTACTGACAGGTCAGCCTTTCTTCTAGTTCCTGAATATCTATTTGCCTTTTTGCTGGACAAGTCAGAAATGGGGAAGGCCCCTCCCCGAAACCAGTAGTACAGAGAAGTGGAGTATGATATGCAAACTGCCCCAAATAGTTGCTGACTGTGTTAGTTTCCTCTTGCTGCTGCAACAAATTACCACCAACTTGGTGGCTTGAAACAACACAGATTTATTATCTTACAGTCCAGAGACCAGAAGTGTGAAACGGGTGGGCAGGGCCACCTGCCTTTTGCGGGCACCGGGGGAGAATCTGTGTCCTTGCCTTTTCCAGCTTCTAGAGGCTGCACAGTTCCTTCCTGCTCTTCACTCCAAACTACTTCAGTCATCATATCTCGGCCTCTGAGTCTCCGGCTGCCCTCTCTCACTTATAAGGGCCCCTGTAATTACACTGGACCCACTTGAATAATCCAGACTAATCATCTCAAGATCCTTATCACATCTGTGAAGTCCCTTTTGCCATATAAGGTAACATCTTCACAAGTTCTGGGGATTAGGATATGGACCTTTGTGGGGGTGGGGGGGAGGGAAGGGGGGCAATATTCTGCCTACCACACTGGCACTGGGACTCTGGATGGGTTTCCAAGAGGCTGGGTCTGCCAGGATGACAGGAATGACTTTTCATGCTCTGGGACCCTGACTGTCTGGCCAAGCCACATTGCTACACGAGCTGGTGGATCTCTACAGCATTGGGAGCATTTCCCACGGCCAAGCAGCTACTGTGGTTGCTAAGATGGTACCCACCGTTGCAGGAATCCTGGGGTCTGGAGATGGGGCTGCTGCGAGGTATCTGGTTCCCTGCGTGGGAAGCTCTGGGGGGACGGGAGGGAGACCTGGGAAGGAAGCAGAGAAGACAAGGAGGCATGTTGTCACAGTTGAAAGTCAGCTTTTGTTGTGAGGGGAGCAATGAGAAGAGGTGACAGTGGAATGGGCACAAATGATACCTTTCTATATTACTGCATTCCTTGAAGGATCCACATCATAGCACCCACCAGGGTCCCATGGAACCCTATACTGAACTGATTCTGTACCCCTGAGTAGCACAGAGTCTTAACCTTAGAAACTGGATATAAGAACAGTGGAAAATAAAGCTATCAGTGTTTCAACTTACCTAGTTGGTAATTCAATTTTTCTCTTGTTTTCTTGTTTGGGATGTGTCTTTGGGTATCTGAAGCAGAGCACAGGGCTCTGTGATAGGAATCTGCATTCATGATTGTGGTACATTGAATTGCTGTTCAGTAATCCATAGGAGGAGTACACTTCTCTACACCACTAATATTGAGCTTGGCATGAGACTTGCTTTAGCCAATGGGATATTAGAAGACGTGTTGTAAGCAAAGGCTTACAATGTGCTTGTGGGGCTGGCTTCCCCTCCAGCCTTTTGCCCTGAAAAGAACATGGTCCAAGAAAGATGAATGACATGTGGTGCAGATGTGGATCCAACCTGCAGCTTGGAGTTAAATTCAGCTAATCCCAGCTTCAATCAACTAACTCCAGCTGACCTGTGGACATGTGAGAGAGGAATACATGCTTAATATTATAAGCCTTTAAGTTTTAGGGTTGTTTTGTTACATAGCATTATTACAGAAATAGCTGACTGAAACATGATTTCAAGAATTGGAGCCTATTGCTAAATGGACAAGATCCAGGAGTCAACTCATGCCCTCCTGTTCTATCAGTTTACACTGCCCTACACTCTGATATTTCCCTCTGGTCACAGAAAAGACAGGTGAAAACATGGGGATAGAACACCAAAAGCATGATCCATGAAAGAAAAAACTGACAAATTGGACTTGGTTAAAATTAAAAAGCTGATCTAAGAAAGACAGAGAAATGAAAATGAAAAGACCAGTTCTGACATAGGAGAACCTATTTGCAAAACACCTATCTGATAAAGGACTGATATCCAAAATATACAAAGAACTCTTAAAACTCAATAATAAGAAAACAACTCTAACTAAAAAATGGGTAAATGAGCTGAACAGATGCCTCACAAAAGAAGATACACAGATGGCAAATAAGCATATGAAAAGATGCTCCACATCTTATGTCATCAGAGAAGTGCAAATTAAAACAACAATGGATATCACTACCCACCTATTAGAATGGCCAAAATCTAAAACACTGACAACACCAAATACCTGTAAGGATGTGAAAAAAAACACACACACAGAAAATCTCATTCATTGCTGGTGGGAATGCAAAATGGAGCAGCCACTTTGGAAAATATTTGACAGTTTCTTATAAAACTAAATATATTCTTACTATACAATTCAGCAATGCAAATACCCATACAAAAACATACTAATGTTTGTAGTAGCTTTATTTATAATTGTCAAAACTTGGAAGTAACTAAGATATCCTTCAATAGGTGAATGGATAGCCCTGGCCCAGTAGCTCAGTGGGCTAGAGTATCATCTGGATAAGCCAAGGTTGTGGGTTCGATCGCGGTCAGTACACAGAATCAATCAATGAATGCATAAATAAGTAGAACAAACCAATGTTTCTCTCTCTCCCGCTGCCCTTCCTCTCTCTCTCAAATTAATAAATAAAATAATTTTTTTTAAAAAACAGGTGAATGGATAAACAAACTGTAGTACATTCATATAAAAAGAAATAAGCTATCAAGACATGGAAGCCTGGCCAGTGTTGCTCAGTGGTTGATCATCAACCCATGCACCTAAGAGATCACCAGTTCGAATCCTGATCAGGGCACATGCCTGGGTTGCAGGCTCAATCTCCAGTAGGGGGCGTGCAGGAGGCAACTGATTGATGCTTCTCTCTCACATTGATGTTTCTATCTCTCTCTCCCTCTCCCTTCCCCTCTCTAAAAATCAATAAAAACATTTTTTTTTAAAAAGGAAAAAAAAAATGGAAGAACCTTAACTGCATATTGCCGAGTGAAAGAAGCCAATCTGAAAAGGCTGCATGCTGTATATTCCAAATATATGACATTCTGGAAAAAGTAAAACTATCGAGACCATTAAAAACCAGCAATTGCCAGGGATTTGGTGGGGAGGAGGGATAGGATGAATAGGTAGAGCATAGGGGATTTTTAGGGAGGTGAAACTATTCTGTATGATACTCTTAATGGTAGGTACATATCATTATATATCTGTTAAAACTTATAGAATGTACAGCACAGATTGAACACTAATGTAAACTATGGACTTTAGTTAATAATATTGTATCAATATTGGCTCATTAGTTGTACCGTATATACCTTATTAAGGCAAGATGTTAATAATAGGGGAAACTAGGGGCTGGGTGAGGGGGTATATGAGAACTTTGTACTTTCCACTCATTTTTCTGTAAATCTAAAACTGCTCTAAAACATAAGGTCTAGTAAATAAATAAATAAAACAAAACATGGGGATAAATTTTGAGCCACCAATTCTTTGGGACTCTATATGCAGTTCTCCCCTGGAAGGTGCCCCATGTTAATGACTTGCTTCAATATAGCCTCTAGCTGTGGCTTTAAGTATAAATATAGAGAAAGCACTTGTTTCTCCTGTGATTTGAAAAAACTGCCTCCTTATTCCCCAACCTGGGCCCTCAATTTTGTCATGTGTCTGTCCTCATGTCAGTATATCTGACATAAGACTATATTGATTTACATTCTGTTTGCATCCTTCCCTTTTGAAGGTTGGCAATGACTGCTAGTTATCCCCACCTCCATGTTCCCCCTTCTTCTGGAGAAACAGAATTTTTATCAGGGGCATGTGACCACTCAGAATGAATGCTACATTTCCCACTCCCTTTTGCAGCAAAGTGTGGTCATGTAATTACATTCTGATCAATGGGTTGTAAGTGGAAGTGTGGTATAGCACCTTCCAGGATGCTTTCTTAAAAGATGTGGACTCTTTGCCCCTTATTTTTCATCTCTTCCTCCATCATGCTGTCTAGAATGTGCATGTGAAGGCTGGAGCTCTAGCTGCCATCTTGGACGCTGAGGAAAATGAATTAACTCTAGGGATGGCAAAGCCAGATGGTGCCTGGATCTCAAGATATTTGAGGCATAGCTACCATACAGCTAGGATGATCCTCTGGACTTGTACCTCAGAGAGTGTGGCATGCACTGTCAGTATCCCTTAAAGTGGCCTAGACTTTTAGCTGTCATTATCTGCATCACTGTGCCTGAGGGCTCTTTCTCTAAAACTGAAAAAAAAAAACCTACAACACCACCAAAAAACAAACAAACACACACACACACACACACACACACACACACACACACCCCTCAGCTGCCAGCATTCCAAGAAGGCCAAAAGTGCTAAGAAATTAATGCCCTCTGGGATCAGTCCTCAACTAGTGACTTTTGGGAGTTGGTGTACAAATAAGTACTCCAGCTCTCTTGTCTCTTGGCTCAACTAATGACTTTTGGGAGTTGGTGTACAAATAAACACTCCAGCTCTCTTGTCTCTTGGTTGGGATAACTGTGAAGTTTGTGTTTTGTGCTGTTTCCCAGGATTTCCCCACAGGATTAAACTTCAGTCACCTACAGAGGTAACTTGCTTGACAACATACCCTCTCCAAGTTTAGTTCCGACATCAATGTCGGTTAATAGTTTCATTTATACTCATGAATAAGATGAAAATGAAATAATGAAGTATGCATGTTTTCACTCCTTAGTAGATGATATGAGCAACTTCTTTGCTGAATAAGGTAAGAGTTTCCAATACTGTCACAATTTTGTGCTAATCACAATGTAACAGCTATAGACACAACACACTTAATGTTTTTATCTGCGTTATTAACATTGGCTCCATCACCTAACCTAAGTCTAGACCTGGGTTTGGCAAACTACATTTTATTGCGACACAGCCACACCATTACTTATTGTCTGTAGTGGTTTTTGTGACACAGGCAGAGCTGGGTTGTGACCCAGTAACATGGTCTTCAAAGCCTAAAATATTTACTATGTGACCCTTTACAGAAAAATTTTAATAGCGAAACAATAATTCAAGTCCTGATTTGTAGCTTTGTTGATTTTGGTGTTATAAACAGTCTCAACATGGCCAATTTCAAACTAGCAACCAGAACTGTATTATGATATTCATGGGCCTTTGGCACTTTTGCTTTTGTTGGAACCTTCCTTCATAAAATATATATTCTATTTATAAATATATTAAATTAATTAGAAATTATAGTTGACAACTACATTGATATCAAGATGAATATATTCATATATGAAGACATTTTTTCCTTCTGATTTAAAAAAATTTCTTTTGAACATTTTTGTGGCACCTAAAAGTATGATGGGCCTTCTGTACTGTGCCTACTGTGTTAATGGATAAGTTGGCTCTGCTACCAACCCGACACCGCTGAACACAGAGCTGGAAAGGAATATGCAGCAATACACCATCTAGCAGTATTACACATAAAATAGATGTAAACAACTCAAGAGTAAGATGTAGTAAAATGATTAGGAAGTGATAAGTTTTAAATATAAAATGTTTTAAAATTGATTTTAGAGAGAAAGGAAGTGGAGAGAGGGAGGAAGAGAGAGAGAGAGATTTATTGTTCCATTCATTTATGCATTCGCTGGTTGATACTTGTATGTGTCCTGACTGGGGATCAAAGCCACAACCTTGGCATATCAGGACAATGCTCTAACCAACTGAGATACCCAGCCAAGGTCACTTTGTTGAGCATTGCCCCATGTACCAGAAGGTTGTCTGTTCAATTCCCAGTCAGGGCACATGCCTAGGTGAGCTCTATCCCTAGTAGGGAGTGTGCGGGAGGCAGCCAATCAATGTCTCTCTCATGGATGTTTCTATTTGTCTCACTCTCCCTTCCTCTCTCTGAAATCAATAAAAACATATTTTAATTAAAAAAACCATGTCTATTTGTCTGAAAATATCTTTAAAAAAAAAAGCAATTAAAATGATAAATTGTATGTGATGTATATTTTACCACAATAAAAAAGTTTTTTAAGGAAAAAAAAAGAAACTTACCATGTGATGGAGCTAGTGAGAGGTAGGGATGGGATCTGACCTCAGGCCACCAAGTTCCAGGATTCTGGTGTATGTTACCGAAAGAGATGGGAATGTGAAAACCCTTGGGGGAAAACAAAAAGTATGAGGAGGGGGAAAATGGAAATACTGAAGAAGAATAAGCCATTTGTGAAGCTTTCCCCCTTATTATTCATCCCTCTTCAAGCATCCAGAAAGGGTAGAAAACACCCAGGATTCAAGATCCAGGAGAACTTGTTGCAAGTTTGGAATCTATGACTTACTAGTGATGAGATTCCAGGTAAGTTCTCCTAGTCGTTCAAGCTTTCTTCCCCTTGGGAATAATATCTGTTCAGCTATTCTTCAGGATGGTTGTGTGGATGAGAGAGTTAATGGATGTGTGTTTCAATGATCAATTGCTCATGAGAAACCACTCCAAAATCTAGACCAACTGTGCTCAGCTGGACAGTTTTTCTACTGTACATAGTGACGGATGTGGTTGCATTCAGCTGGCAGGTCAGCTGGGGTTGGGATGTCCAAGATGACTTCATTCACAATTCTAGTGCTCAGCTGGAGTTTCTAGATGTCTTGAGGAGATGGCTGGCCTCCCTCCCTTTCCATGTGGCTCTCCAGCAGGGTAGCCATACTTCCTTAGATCCAAGATGATAGCCGCAGAAGCTGCCAAGCCTCTTAAGGCTAAGACCCAGAACTGGCAGTTGTTTGTACCACATTCTATTGGTCAAAACAAGTGATATGACCAGCCAGATTCAAAGGGAGGATAAATAAAATCTGCCTCTTGAAGGGAAAAACAGCATGCTCATGAAAAAATGGGAGGACTTGTTGGCAACCATCTTTCTGGACAATCCATCACAATGGTGCTCATTTCTACTCAGGGAGATAGAGAGCAGAAATCCAAGTGCCATTTATTTGCCAACCATACCCAAGGGCAGATGAAGTTAAGGGAATAAATCTCATTTTGGCACATCAGCCTAAAACTAATGAATAATTTATTAGACCTCCCCTTAACTCCCAGCCTTAAAAAAACCCCTCAAACTGAAGGTCCCAGCGCACTCCCTCTCCCTCCCATGAGTATGTCCAGCCTTTCCCAGCCCCTTCTTCTTCCCCACAGACATGCATCTCCTACACCAGTGAAGGCGAACCTTTTGAGCTCGGCGTGTCAGCATTTTGAAAAACCCTAACTTAACTCTGGTGCTGTGTCACATATAGAAATTTTTTGATATTTGCAACCATAGTAAAACAAAGATTTATATTTTTGATATTTATTTTATATATTTAAATGCCATTTAACAAAAAAAATCAACCAAAAAAATGAGTTCGCGTGTCACCTCTGACATGCGTGTCATAGGTTCGCCATCACTGTCCTACACTCTAAGGGACCCCAGGAGGCTTGCAACCAGGAAGCAATGGGCAGCGACTGCTCCTCCCCAGCTAACCCTTGACCTTGGCCCCATTGCCCCCTTTTCTCTGACTTCCTAGTGAGCCAAAGCAGCCCAGCCCAGGCTCATTTCCCCGCCTAGTTACTCCCTCTATTGTTGCTTCTTCTATCCTAGGCCCTTCCTTGTTTCACTGTTACCAGCTTTAATAAACATCCTTTAAAAATCACCTGGATTCCTGCTGTGAAATCTTTCCTGCGCAAAGTCAAGAACCCACTCAGGGCCAGGTCACCTTTCCGGTAACAAGAGTCACACACTTACCTAACACATGGTGAAGTCCACATTCAAAGATGTCTTCCTCCACTAAATAACTTGCTTTTCATTCATTCCTTTAACAAATACATAGTGCATTGTATTGGGCACCTTCTATATGCCTGAAGGAAAATACATAAGAGTATAAAGACAACTATGTAACATTATGTCATTAGCTCCTCATCACAAAACTATGATGAAAGTATTACAATATTCCCCTCCCCATTTTACAGATGAACATGGAGTGAGGTTTAATAATAAACAGGCTCCTAGCTTTTAGGTATTACAGTCTATTGGAGAGAATATAGAATAGTCAAGCAAGTAATTAAATGCATAATTACAAATTATTCTCAGAGTAGAACCCTGCTCTTGGAATCCTGGTATCCGCCTCTCACCTAAATCAAGGCCTCAGGTAACCCTGGCAACGGTTCTCTGGCCATTAGTAAAGATGGTGCCCCAAGAACCTGTGCGTTTAGGCACAACCCTCATTACCCACAATGCAGTGGGGAAGAGGGAGTAGCTGTCTCTGCCAGGAGCTAATATGGCTCCCCAAGTTCTGCCGTACGCTCTCTTCCCCTAATCAGCGACTTGACTGCCCAGACCAGGCTACGGATCAGGAGCTAAGTCGGCTTTGCCCCTCCATACCGCAACTACGGGAGCGACTGAAGTTGAGCGGCACCGCGCAGAATTGAACTCCATAATCGGGGAAACACCACTTCCGCTGACGTCATCACGCCGACACGTGGATCCAAGATGGCGGCAGCGATGGTGAGTGAAGGAGACTCCGGGAGCCGGAGCTGGAGCCGGGTTCTCCGGGGGATCCCAGGATCTTCCGGCACTCCATGCCTGCCCCGAGCCACCTCCGGACCCCCTAGCTCAGGCTTGAGGGGTGTCCCTGACTGGGCTTGTCTCCCCCAAAGTTCCCCTTCCCCGGCCGTGGCCCCGCACTCAGGCTTGTCAGGGCCTGGAGTTTTGAGGGAGGCATTGGGTCGGAGGAAAGGTCTCGGCGACCGCCTCTGCTGGTTCCTATTCCTGCTTTGGTCTCCGCTTTCTGTGACCCCCATTTCCCAATTTTCACTTCCCAGCCCTGACCCCTCTGAAGAGCCCCCCATTATTCCCGCCTTTGCTCCTCCCTCTCACGTCCAGATCCTGCTGTCTCCGCCTCCCCACCCTCCTGACCAGTCCGTGGAAGCGACCTCGGCTCTGACCAGCCTCCCAGCCTAAAGCCGGTGTCAGACCCTTTCCAGAGCCCGTCCTCGACTCTCGCCTGTTCTCCGCGCACCCGTCTCGACTGTGGTTACCCCGAGCTTGCCCTTTCCCACCCCATCCCCACCCCCACCTTCCACCCCCAGACCCTTCCCTGATTATTTTTCCTGTCTTCTTTCTGTCAACTCTCTGCTTTTCCGGGGAAGCTTTTATCCCGTTGTTTGGGGGGCGGGGGGTTGGGGGGAGGGAGGCATGTTGAAAATAGTTTCCGGAGCCCCACTCCTGAAGATTCTAATTCCCTAGGGCTAGGCGATGCCCAGGAATTCGCAGTTTTATAAGCACTCCAGTGACTCTGATGGAGGTGGTCTGTCCTACGTTTTAAAAAAACAAAAACACTATACTGGCCCTCTTGGCTGTGCCTGCAGGGGCCAACGCAGCTGTTCGGGGGAAGGTTACAGGATGGAGCTCGTTAGGGTGCCGCCTGTGTGTGGTTAGGTGTGCAGGGTGCCTGGAAAGTGGGTCAGAACTTGGCTCCTTGTGCAAAATCCTGGAAGTAGATCTCGGAAGCAATGGCCTTTCCCCCAGAGGCTCGGTTCATACTCTGCTTGTCAAGAACAAGCAGACAGAACCAAGATTTAAGTCATTTAATCCAGAGTGATTTTCTAGGTCTTCCTGTATGCTGCTTCCTTAGCTGATAATATCCTGAGAGTGAATGCAAAGGAAGACACGGAGAAAAGGGAGTGGTATCTGCCTTTAACAAAGGAACATTCTTGTTTAAATTCTCTGGTGTTGGTTTTCTCCCAACAAGGGTAGGTTATTGGCTGATAACAAAGTTTCCTTCCTTCTGTTAACCAGCCGGTAATTTATCCTTTTTGTTTAATGAGAGATTCCTTCTTTGGAACCTCAGAGGCCGGGTAAAAGAGGTTTCTCAGCCTTGTGCTGTCAAATCTCAGGCTGAATCACGAGTGGGGAAAACCCCCAAAGTGGCCTGTTGAAACCCATTTTTCCCTGGACCGCATTCGGATCAAGCATGTTGTAAGAACGTCACAGGAAAAGGCACACCCTCTCTTGCCATAGGGAGAAGTTCAATAAAGTGGCATTTATAGAATTGCATGGGAGACCCCTGCCCTGTTCAGAGGTTTTAAAGAGGTAGTAAGTTAGCAATCCATGTTTCTGGAACACATTTATATAATCAACAAATATTTGTGTGCCTGCTCTGTGCCCAGGCCTAGGGATGTGGTTGTGAGTTAGAGGTTCAAGGTCCACCCTTGTGGCGCTTTTCTAGTCCGAGGAGAGAGAGAACAAGTAAACAAATACATGAGCAAGATAATGCCAGATAGTGTTAAGTGCTGTGAATATAGTAACTGATGTAAAGAAACTGAGGGTGGCCCTAACCGGTTTGACTCAGCGGATAGAGAGTCGGCCTGCGGACTCAAGGGTCCCAGGTTCGATTCCGGTCAAGGGCATGTACCTTGGTTGCGGGCACATCCCCAGTAGGGAGTGTGCAGGAGGCAGCTGATCGATGTTTCTCTCTCATCGATGTTTCTAACTCTCTATTCCTCTCCCTTCCTCTCTGTAAAAATTCAATAAAATATTAATAAAGAAAAGAAACTGAGGATGTAATGTACACAACGACCCACAGAGGCCAGTGCAAAGGGTGCACACGAGAAACTTCAAGTTTGATTCAATAATGAAAAGGTGTGGAAGTAAGTTTGTTAAGGGAGTCTGTGCAATAGGCCAAGTGGAGTCGCAGATAGACTTGAGTTTGGTCTGTGTCAGGCACTTACTGGGGAGTCAGAACAGTCCCCACACCCTCTTATACACAGGGTGTTTCACAACCATTGGGGACATAAGCGAGTGGATCTGCTTTGGGGTGTGTGGGTTTCGGAGGCAAGTCGTACAGCCAAAGAGGAACTGAGCTAGTGGAGTCAGTGACCGTGGGAACAGGCTTGTTCCTTTGTTTTGGAGGTTAGGGTTGTAGGTGCAAGTTTGAAGTGGTAGTATTTATGGCCTTTTCCCTCCCTTTTTGAAGTGAATGGCTCTTCTTCCTCAAGGAGGCTGCCACCTCCCAGTTGTGTGTTAGCACATTGGGTGTTTCTTGAACCTGCAGGACAAGAGTTCTCCCACCATAGGGGATGGTTGGTATAAACTGAAGTTCTCTCTGGTGTTCCTGCCTTCCTCCTGCCCTGGGTTTAGACCAGGGGTGGGCAAACTTTTTGACTCGAGGGCCACAGTGGGTTCTTAAACTGGACCGGAGGGCCGGAACAAAAGCATGGATGGAGTGTTTGTGTGAACTAATATAAATTCAAAGTAAACATCATTACATAAAAGGGTACGGTCTTTTTTTTTTTTTTAGTTTTATTCATTTCAAACCGGCCGGATCCAGCCCGCGGGCCGTAGTTTGCCCACGGCTGGTTTAGACTCTAAAGTTACAGGATGCCAAGGTGAGCTAGCTGGGTCTGAGGTGAGAGGCAGGCTCATCTCACTCTTTATGGAAATATTGAGCATATGGAATCTGCTTTTGGGAACGTTATTATGGTGGAACTTGTGAAATGTCCATTGAGTACATTTGTAGGTATCTCAGGAGCCTAGAAACCTCCATTTGGAGAATAAAATTCTGTGTACTCTCACATATATCATTGTTCATGCTATTTTGGGTTTTATCTTTTTCCTTTTTTATTGGATATTATTCATTTACCATAAAATTTGCCCTTTTAAAGTCTACAGTTTGGTGGTTTTTAGTAGATTCACAAAGTTGTGCAACCTTTACCACTATCTTCTAGAACATTTTCATCACCCAAAAAACCCCATTAGCAGTCACTTCCCACACAACCCCTCCCCTGTTCTCCACAACCACTAATTTACTTTCTATCTGTATAGATTTGCCTATTCTGGTTATTCTATATAAATGAAATCATACAATATGTGGTGTTTAGTATCTGGCTTTTAAAAAAATATATATTTTTATTGATTTCAGAGAGGAAGGGAGAGAGAGATAGAAACATCAATGATGAGAGAGAACCATTGCCCTAACCGGTTTGGCTCAGTGGATAGAGCATCGGTCTGTGGACTGAAAGGTCCCAGGTTCGATTCCGGCCAAGGGCATGTACCTTGGTTGCAGGCATATCCCCAGTAGGGAGTGTGCAGGAGGCAGCTGATCGATGTTTCTCACTCATCAATGTTTCTGACTCTCTATCCTTCTCCATCTCCCTTCCGCTCTGTAAAAAATCAATAAAATATTAAAAAAAAAAAAGAGAGAGAGAGAACCATTGATTGGCTGCCTCCTGCAGGTCCCTACTGAAGATTGAGCCCACAATCTGAGCATGTGCCTTTGATTGGGGAATCAAACCCGGGACCCTTCAGTCCGCAGGCTGGCACTCTATCCACGGAGCCAAACCAGTCAGGGCTAGTATCTGGATTTTTTAAAAAACATAGCATAATGTTTTCAAAAGGTAATTAATGTTGAAGCATTTATTAGTACTTTATTCCATTTCTCTTTTTTTAAATCCTCATCTGAGGATATTTTTCCATTGATTTAGAGAGAGTGGAAGAGAGAGGGAAAGACAGAGAGAAACATTGATGTGAGAGAAACACATCGTTTGGTTGACTCCTGCACGAGCTCTGACCAGGGCCCCGGCCCAGAGAGGAGCCTGCAACCGAGGTACGTGCCCTTGACTGGAATCGAACCCGGGACCCTTCGGTCTGCAAGCCTGCGCTCCATCCACTGAACCAAACTGGCTAAGGCAGTATTTCATTTCTTTTTATAGCCAAATAATATTTCATTGTATGGCTAGACCACATTCTTTTTATCCTTTTATTTATCCATTGATGTGTATTAGGGTTGTTTCCACTTTTTTGCTATTATGAATAACATTGCTGTGAACATAAGTGTGCTAGTTTTTGTGTTTTCTGTTTTCTTGGATTTATATCTAGTAGTGGAATTGGGCAGGAGGGGTAGACTCTGCCACCAGTCCCATGTGTGGGAAATTGCTGTCTCCTCTGGGCCTCACATGTGGGGTGGGCATTGAGGAAGGAGCACAGAACAGGAGTCAGCAGCCTATGCTTAGTCCTAACACTGCCACTGATCCACTGTGTGGCCTGGGTGGAAATCACTTTGGCTTTATTGGTTTGTTTCTACATATGGGTTTGGACTTGATGCTTTCTGAATTCCAGGTTGAAAATTTTGTGGTTTAGAATACTTGGATTTAAGGTGACTTTTGCCAGTCTCTCTCTATATATATATAAAAGGCTAATATGCAAAGTGTCCCCTCTGGAGTTCGACCGGGAGACCAGGAGTTTGATCACTCACTATGATGGGCGCTGACCACCAGGGGGTGGCGCAGAGCGAAGGAAGGCCCTGGCCCTGATCACTGGCTAGGCCTAGGGACCTTACCTGTGCATGAATTTCATGCACCTATACCTCTGGTATACCTATAATCAGATGGATTTTTCCCCGTGATCATAGTTTCTGTGGTCTTTCCAAGCACTTGTCATTTGGTCGTGTTGTCTGTCTAATCTTGAGTTGCTCCACTGGCACATATTCTGCAGGAGCCACTGTGCCC